ATTGTCTTGTCTATAAATAATAACACTTTGCTAACACCATTAAACATTAAATGAGATAATGTTTTCTACAAATAACAAGAACGCAAAATTGAAGTCCAAATTTATCGAGTGAGCCAAATTAAAGGGGTGTGAATGGTAGACAATGGAGGGTCACATGTTGGATTCTAAGGAGACAATCAATCATGGAGACTGCAACATGAGACTTCTATTTTATTGGATTTCAATATGTTTTTCAATACACTTATTGGATTTTAAAAAATTAATAAGAGTCCCAACTTCGTTTTCTTTTCATTCGTGGATTTCTATAGAAAAATATCAATAAATTTTAGTAGTGAGGTAGTCTTAGGTCTTCTATCACTTTTTATCGTATTATTTTATACCCTCGGATACGTTCGGTTTCTTGGAGCTTCAAAGCAAACTCGATTAAATTTAATTTTATGTGTGTTCTTCTATCTTCTTTTATTATTTTAAATTTTATAAAAAGTTTTCTTCCGCCGAACGCCGGACATCGGAACTGCTGCTGTTTGTCGTGACGTGTGGGGGACCGGGTGAACCGGTGAAAATGTACCGACAAATGCTAATGCCATGAATGTATTTGAAACCCATTTATTATTAGTACATGTTTAGTCTTAATTGTTTAATTACGCAATTATGAGCTGATTAAGAGACTCCCTTTATGACAAAACAAAACACTTAAAAGCTCTTAATATTTTGATTGATCGTGCTGGATCTGCGTAGGTGGCTTGGGAATATTTTGGTGTTACATATGGAGTGAGTGTGTAGCTGGTACAGACTAGGATTCAAATCACCTGAGGAGATTATTAGTTACAATTTAATAAGGAAAAAAGATGGCTGGCTACACCAAGTATAGAGAAATGCATGTTCACACATGGCAAGTATCATATTGTATATTCAGCTACACGAACTATATGTATTGCATGGCCACATGCATCAACTATACAACGTCATGTAGTCAACACCATATACATAAAATTCTGGTACACCGGTTAATTGATTCTGGCGTTAACCGGTGTTGATTCCGGCGTTGACCGTTTTTGACCAAAAAAAATATTCTAAATTTTTCTTTATATAATTTTATTTATAGTGTTAAAAAGACTAAAAATTATAATTATTTTATAATGAATTTTTATGGTTTTGTATACTTAAAAAATTTATAATAAGAAAATTGTAACAATGATTTTTTTATTTAAGTAAATCACATAATAAGTTAATGGTTTTGATTGACAATGTGAAAATAAGCAATTCTCTTACTAATTCATAAGATTTTTCGAGTTTCAGTTTAGATTATAATATCTTGAATTATTTTACTATTAGTTTAGCTATAAATTTTTAAAATAACTAACTATAATAAGAATGAATACATTAAATATATAAACAAAACTAGTGTTTAGATATTGAATATATATAAAAAATAGTTTTTTAATTAAATTGTTTATGGTTTTGTATAATGAAAAATATATAATCTTAGGAAGAAAATTGCTATGATAATTTTGTATTTAAATAAATCAAATAATAAGTTAATGTTTTTATTAACAATATAAAAATAGTAATTCCCTTAGTAATTCACATAATTTTTCTACTTTTAATTTTAGTATCTTGAATTATTTTACTATTTTGAATTTTTCTAGTTTTAATTTAGATTTTAATATCTTGAATTAAATACAAAATCATCGTCGTTATTTTCTTCCTAAGATTATATTTTTTAATAATATAATATTTTGAAATTGTTTATAGTTTTTTATAATAAAAAATTCAAAAATAATTATAGTTTTTAGTTTTTTAACATTATAAAAAAAATTTAAATTTTTTTTTGGTCAAAAACGGTCAACGCCGGAGTCAACACCGGTCAACGTCAGAATCAATTGACCGGTGTACCAGAATTTTATGTCTATGGTGTTGACTACATGACGTTGTATAGTTGATACATGTAGTCATGCAATACATATAGTTCTTGTACCTGAGTGTACAATATGATACTTGGCATGTGTGACCATGTATTTCTCTATAATTCGTGTAGCCAACCATCTTTTTTCCATTTAATAATGTTACCCAAAAACAAAATATATATCAATATCATCATCATGCACTTACGGATTTTGTACACGATCAGAAATCTTTGTGATGCGATTAGGATAGTGTGCGCATGTGACTTTCACTAAATGCTCGTTTTCTTAAAATTACTCGGATATGGTTTTAATCAGTTTTTAACTTGTTATAATGTAAGAACCTTATGTATTATTTGTTGTTTGGTGAAAATATATTTAATTATGCATGTCTTTTTTTGTTGTGCATGAACCATTTTTATGTTATATTTTCAGTTTTATTGGATGATCTAGAAAGAAAAAATATATGTATATTTATAACAATATTATCGGCTGAAAGAATATTATTTTTCTTTTCAAGTTTAATTGTCTCAACACCTTACACCACAATGTTTTTAGACATGTAGCTTTATAAATAAATAAATAAAGAAGACATAATAACTTAAATTGTGGTGAAATCAATCTCTTGGAAGGTTTTCTCCATCACGCCTGACCTAAGCAAAAATGTCTCTTTTAGAATATTTACAAGTTGATAAAATATCTCATATTTTTTATTTGCATTCGATCGTTGCTTACATATTTCAATTTCAGATTTTAGAATTTCCAATGGCTATATCATATATGTAATTTTTATTATCATTGGCGGCCTAGTTGAGAGACTCACAAGTGTGTGGTTACGGAACCAAAAGCAAAAAGGCCGTTACAGCCCAGCACATAGGTTCAACTAGAGGCCGGTGTTGGTTTGCTAAAAAATATGCACCAGCCGGGAATCGAACCCGGGTCTGTACCGTGGCAGGGTACTATTCTACCACTAGACCACTGGTGCTTCGATGACAATTTTTTCCAAAAGTCATTAAGAATCAGTTCTTTTATTTACTCTAATACGGTCTAAATTGATTCATTTCATTTTGTTCTTTTGTTTTCTTTGGTTAAAGGATGAAAAACACTTTATCACATTTTAATACCAATTAAATCACATTATGAGAAAATTATTAAGTATGTCACACGGTTCCAATCACAGATTCAGAACAATCAATTCAGACAAAAATATAAAGAGATTCTTGTGTTGGAATGAACTGGTGAGATGACATAACTAAATACATGTGATCTTGAGATAGAGACAGAAGTCAATGTGATTGGACAGTTAACAAAACCTACAAATTTTGCAGTTTTAGCCAAAATAATCTCTAGGTTTGCTCAAATCAATTCCTCACCATTAGTAGAAGTACTTAATTAGAATCAAATCTATTTAAAGACAAACGGTATGGGTGTATAATAGAATGGCAACGAAAGGTGATTACCGTAGGAACAACACAAAAGAAAATTTTGGGGGCGAATTTACAAGAAGATGGAAAGTATTAGGGTGCATGATGAAAAAACTCTTTACCTTTCACATCATCACTCAAACACAAATAAACTCACTGTAATTATTATTCATAGAAAAGGGAAAGAATTGAAGGGAACGTAGAGATTAGAGTGGAAAGTGATCGATTCCAAAAATGGAAAGGTGATGATGGATTGTATCGTATATTAAATTTTTAAAATTGTTGGGGAAGATGGAGAATGTCAGATTAAATTTGTTCATGGGGAAACCACAAACATCCCAAATGTATTGACCGAAACATTCCATTTTCTTGTTACCTTTTCACATCACTTGTTTTCTAATTTTCTAATCTTGTCTCCTACACTCTTGGCTCTTGATCTGTCTGTACTCTCTACATTCATTCATGTTTCGTATGGTACAGATTCTACAGTATGTGTATATCTATATACAATATATAGTCGATATATATGGAGTTTAATTTTATAATCAAAAGAGCTCTAATTACATACCATGAGATGAAATGGAATACAGTTCATATCTACATGCTTTTATTGTATGTATCATACACTATTTGCATCCCTTCATATAGCTAGTATGAGCTAGATATCACATGCACTCACACGTGCGTATTTTTATCATTTTGTGTGATGGAAGAAAGTACAAACTTGTGTTAACTTAATAGTAAATTTTGTTGGTCGATGATTGGTTGAACTTAAGTGAGGGCATCCTTAATCATTATGAATTTTAGGTTATATTATATATAATAACATATTTACATGTCCTCATATCGATTTTGAATGTAGAATAATTTATAGACGCTTTTTCAAAACAATAAGCAAATTATCCTCATGATTTTGTATCGGACAGTTTTCATTAAGTACTTGTATGTAAAGCTAAGCTAAGCATTAATATATGTGATGGTGAGTGTAAAAGATGAAAACATTAACTATTCATGAGTCAATTGATCATCATCCATCTTTATATGATTCATAGTACCACTTTGTCGCATGCGTCTATGTCTCATCAACCCATCTCTATAATAATGCAATCTTTACCACTTTTTTTTTTTTTTGTCTTTCTTAATACTTCATACACATGCAACCCACTTTCTCTAATCTTTTCTAGCTCTTATATACTACACGTAATTTTACTATACTATAATGTACAATAGGATGATTCAAATTGATACAGTAATATATATATATATATATATATATATATATATTGGAATTGATAGATTTAACACCAATAATAACTATACATCTTAAAAGTACAAACACCGTCTGATTAATAAACAAAAGAAATACAACATCGTTGTCTTCTGTTTAAATATCTTTTATTGTTTGAAAAAACTAGGATACTATAACTTTTTACATATATCCACCTTAAGATTTATTTTGAGCCTCTCCTTCTTATTAAGAGATGTAAACACTGTTGGTAAAATCATGGATAAATATTTTTTGATTAAAGGTCATGCGACCTATATAAATAAATTTGAGGCTTTTTTCAACTTTGATTTGTTTTAATTTCTTTTGACTTCCATTAAAGCCTAATTAATACTATATATTAATACCATTAGCATGAATGCAATCACAATCACAATCTCTTGCTCACTGCTCAGCTATACATGCATGTAATTTTGAACTAATCAAATGAATCTAAAGGTAGCCAAGTCGAAGTTCCAAATCAAGAACTTGTTTGGGATTCCTCAAACTCATCCCAAGCTCCAACCCCATGACATGATCATCTCTCTGATTCATCAGATCCCCACGGCTAATCTCACATCTTACGGAATGACATGCATCGATGACACCCTTCTTGAGCTCTCTGCTACATACATTGCTCTTTTTCTTCTCTCTGTCCACCATCAAACCTCCATAGCTAGTAGTACTGTCCAAGAGATCAGACCTGGCAGAAGGAAAAGGAGTTGTTTTGGATCTCTGGTTGGTTAGGGGAGGCTCAAGATGAGCTGGTGTTGTTGAAGAGCTAAAATTAGGGTTAGGGTTTGCAATAGGTATGTGGTGGTGAGGTTCGAAGAGCCAAGAAGGGATCTGTCTGAGTTTTGCCCTGTCTCTTCTATGGACATTCATGTGGCCTCCAAGTGCTTGAGCAGATCTAAACTCTCTCCTGCAGAAGCTGCAAGTGTAGTTCTTGGGAGGCCATGGGATCAGCCCAGCTTCATAATTCTTGTAGTGATTCATGATGACTCTGTTGTCACCATCAGTGCCTTCTTCTTCTTCTTCTTGGGCTGTGCTTCTGTTGCTGAAACTTGTCAAATGTGTTCTCTTCATATTCTCTAACAGATGGTGATATATACTCCCCTGCATAATATAAAGAAACGTGTCATGTATGATAATGGTGTGTATGAACTACTTCATAAGTGAGAAAGAATAAAGAGTGGAGGATGAGGAAAACCGTAGATATAGAGAGATACTTGAGTTTGGTTTTGCTGAGGATCTAAGGAAGAATACCTATAAGGAGGAGTTACTGTGTTATATATATATATATATAGAGTCAAAGGGAGACAAAGGAGAAGAAGGTGCTTTATTAATCCTTGCTTGAGAGAGAGGTGCATATGTACGGATGATCATTTATTAGGGTTTAAGTCTGTTACATGTTTGGTCAGATATATTGGAGAATAATGAGTATAGCTATAGCTAGGCTATGTTCGATTAGATTTGATGAGTGGTGAAATAATAAAGAAATACATAAGAGAAAAAGGAAGAGACAAAGAGGTAGTTTCATGATTAAGAGGGAGAGAGAGAGAGAGAGAGGAATTGAATAGAGGGCTACTAACTCATGATGCTCATGCCTGCAATGTGTCTGCTTGTTACTATAATTGGAAGTTACTTGAGACCAATGTTATTGTGGTATGGGAACTCTGTGTTGCATTAATCTTTTGTGTCAATATCTTTGCAGGAGACTTGCCATTTCATTTTCATCATATTCCATCTTGGCTCCACACAAATCTCTTCATTATATATTTTGCACATACAGTACATATATAATAAACACACGCATACATTTACATATATAATAGATATATGTACATCTATGTTGGGTACATGAACGTATCTTAGCATAGATTGCAGTGAATAGTGATGGTGGACTAAAAGAAAGGAAAATTACTAGTAATTGATTTTGACATTGAGTAGAAACTGTTAAGGAAAGAAACAAGGCTTGTGTATGCTGCATCAAGGACATAGACCTTGGAGTTATTGCAGCTCAAATCTTTAGTTAAGTACAAATGAAACTAAACTAATTCCATGCCGACAGTTTAATATGTGTATCAAGTGTAAGAAGTAGAACAGCTTGATGAAATAGAAAAAAAAGAAGAGAGATATAATCAGCAATCCAAATCATAAAAACGTTAACAAATTGGTGGATAAATAACTCAAACCCCAAAAAAAAAAAAACTTATGTTGAATACTTTTTATATGATAAACACAATCTCTAAGACAGCTTTTTTAGCTAGTCCATGATTTATTTTCATTGTTTCGTCAAGCATAATCGTCGTATGTCTCACAGTTCTAGTATGGTTAATTGAATCAATTTTAGTATTGATTAGGTCTTTTTCTGTTTTTGGATTAATTCAGAACAAATTTTTTCGATTTTATGTGTTAAATTTGAATTACATAGACATAGACATAGCTTTGTCTCATCCAGCAAGAATTGGAAGACTCTATTATAGTTTTTCTCCAATAATTTTGCAAATTTAAGAATTAGAAAAATAAAAGAGAATTTTTGAGAAATACCCCTTTTGGTGTATCACTTTTTAAAAATACCCCCTTTATCTATCCATTTTCAAAAATACCCCTTTTTAAATATAAAAAATTATAAAGTTTTATATAGTTTATAAGATACTTCTATATAATAACTACTACTGGGAGATTCGATACAAATATTTTAAAATGTTTTAAATAGTTTTAAATCGTTTTTATAAGTTTTATAAGGTTTTAAAAAGGTTTTTAAAAGGGTTTATACGGTTTTTATAAGGTTTTTATAATTTATTTTTACGGTATTTATGAAAGGTATATAAAGTTTTATACACATATAAAGGTAATTTGTGTATATATTTATAAGCTTACACACATATTTGGATAAATTTCAGCATTTTTATTGGGTTTTTTGATAAAGTTTGAAAATGGGGTATTTTTAAAAAAGGTATATGAAAAGGGGTATTTTTGAAATTCCCCCAAAATAAAATCATATAGTTATTAATTCATATCTATTGAATATGTAAGTTTTAGAAGCTTTGAATTTGTTTTTGGAAAAATCACAATAGACCCTTAAGAAGCCGAGAGAAAAAAAAAAAAAAAAAAGCAAAAGAAATCCTCACTTTAATTAAACGCAGCGTTTAAGGAAAAGGAGAAAACCAAAAGCGTCGCAATCGTCGTCCTTTGATGAATCCTTCCATTGCTCTTCTTCGCTGTAACCCCTTTGCCTTCTTCTTCTTCTTCTTCTTCTTCTTCTTCTTCTTCTTCTTCTTCTTCATCGCGATAAGCTTCTACAGAAGAATCGCATTCTTCCGGAAGTAAGTTTTAATTTAGGCTTTCCTCTATTCATTCGTGGTTTTTGTTATTTTGCTCTGTCATAGAATTGTGATTTTGATCTAATCCTTGAATCATCCCAGGCTTTTGAGTTTTTCTTACCTCCTGGGTTCTATTTTTCGTTTACATGTTTAAGCAAGTTGGTTTAAGGAATTGAAGTTTGGAATATCCGAATTGATAGTTTCTGCTTAGGATTTTGAAGTTTGCTCTCTCTCTAATGCGATTACAAAAGTATGGTGCACACAACTCTTGATGGTTAATTTTAAATCTATGGTGGAGCCTGGATCATCCTTTTACTCCTTAGTTGAGATCATAAAGTTTTAAGATCTTAGTTGATTTAGGTTGGATTGGTATTTGCTTTGTTGTTGTTGTGAACTCTATCTGACACCTCCGATTAACTTATCAGTTTTGGTTTTGTTGATTAAGTAGCTAGAAACGGAGGAAGGAGAGACCAAGCGCCGATTTCTATAATCTTATCCGACTTTTGATTTCCTGGAATACTCGGTTTCCTTGCTTTGATTTTTGAGGTAATGTGTTTGGTTCCTTCCTCTTGAGAATTGGAATTTAGGTAGTACGTGGTTAGGTTTTAGTTGATTGTTGAATGGGTTTGATCAGTCTAGGAGATGTCAAACAATCCGAAGATGACATGCGTGTCTTCGGCTCATCAGAATTTGGAGGAGAAACTAAGGGAACTACAGGAGAGGTTCTGTCATCTTCAGGCTGCTAGGAAAGAAGGGCGGCATGGTGACCTTGCACTTTTGGAAGCCCAAATCTCTCAAAATCTTTGTGAGTGGCAAGCTGAACTCACTGCTCCTTCTCCAGAGTCTTCTCTTCTGGTTCGTACTGCATTACCAACAACTTGCACTTCTCGCTGGTTTATTGTTTTTTAAGTCCTTGAAATTATTCTGAACCTGTAAGCTTGGTTGCTTTCTGTTTCTGTATGTGATGAGAGATTAGCCTCGTTTGATTAAAAAATTGCAGTTTTTTTGTTTAATTGTGATTTGTCGGTGGAGATTTAGCTCTTTTGGTTTTTAACATGTGCAGGGTGAAGGTATTAGCCAATTCCTTGAGGAATTTGCTGAGTTTGCTCCTTTGTTGAAATTAGACGAAGAGGATGATGCAACTAGTTCATTAAAGGAACATGCTGCACCAAAGCCTGAGTCTGAGGGTTTCGCTCAAAGCTTGTGCCCTCCAGAATGGACATCTGAACATTTTAGTCAAAGTCCATTCAACGGAAATTTCTCCTGTGGTGTTGAGGTTAGCTAGCTACAGTTTCTGCGTTCAAGTTGTCATTATTGTCTCTTGGTTTTGGATTGTTGGTTTGATTTTCCTGGACATTTGCAACACAATTGATTCTATATTCCAATTCATCTATAAATTTTGATATTTTTCATTCTTGTCTTAATTTTAAAATTGTTCTTATGCACAAATTCATCTTTCCTATCTCAGGATGCTGGTAACAACACGGAAACACATGGTCAGCAACTCCATTATGCATATGAAGGGTTTGATTCAAGCATAAACACAGCCCCTGGTTTCCATGACCAAAAACTCAGCAACTTGGATATAACTTCTCAGTATGATTATATCTGCTCAGAAGTGCGTCAGGAACTCAATAACAGCCCTTCCATTAAGCTTGATTCTTCTGAAGAGATTGAAAACTTTACTGAATTTACTACTCCATCAAGTGTCCGTGTGCCTCCATCTGCCTTTCTCGGACCCAAGTGTGCACTGTGGGATTGCACAAGGCCTGCTCAGGGATCAGAGTGGTACGTGGATTACTGCAGTAACTACCATGCGACTCTAGCTCTGAATGAAGATTCACCTGGCACAGCACCTGTCTTAAGGCCGGGGGGAATCAGTTTGAAAGATAATTTATTGATTGAAGCTCTTCGTGGAAAGACTCAGGGTAAGAATGTTGGCATCCCTGTGTGTGAAGGAGCTGTTAACACAAAATGCCCATGGAATGCAGCAGGTGAGGACATAGGAACATTGGCTCACTAGAGCCGAATTTCATTGTTTTAGTTCAACATTTCATTACCTCTTTGAAAACTCAGAAGCCATATGTGAGTTTCTTATTTTTGCCTGACCCTTTTTGTTGTACTTGCAGAGCTGTTTCATCTTGAACTAGTTGAAGGCGAAACGATTAGAGAGTGGCTCTTCTTTGACAAACCTAGAAGGGCATATGATAGCGGAAACCGAAAGCAAAGATCACTTCCAGATTACAGCGGACGAGGTTGGCATGAATCAAGAAAACAACTGATGAAGGAACAAGAAGGCCAGAAGAGATCTTACTATATGGATCCACAACCTCCAGGTCCCTTCGAGTGGCATCTCTTTGAATACCAAATCAATGAATCTGACGCATGTGCGTTATATCGCCTAGAGCTTAAAGTAGGAAATGGAAAGAAGAGTCCCAAGGGAAAGATTTCAAAAGACCCTCTAGCTGATCTGCAGAAGAAGATGGGACAGTTTAAAGTGGCTACAGATAAACCCTCTCCTCCAACCAAAGGTCGTACAAAGGAGTAAAGTTAGCAGTTTTACTCTGTTTTTTTATTTCTGACGATATTATATGTTGAGATAGGATGATCATCTTTGATGGTTGGCTGTAAATTATTTTTGCATTTTTCTGATATCCTTTAAACCATTATGATGAAGTTGTGTATTTCTCCGACTTCAAAATTAGACATAATATGGATCCCATAAGAAGAAAAAAAAAGGCAGAAAAATATTGCTGAGTCGCAGACAACACATTCCGCGGATGAAGCTAAAGAACTTGGGAGATCGGATACAAACCATGGCTAATTTGATCATAAGTGTTGTGTCAGGTTAAGTGTTCTTAAATACTCTATCCCACCAGATGGGATATGAACAGTTTCTTACCAAGAAGCAATTCTGAAGGAAAAGTGAGTGAAGTAAGTTCATCTTCTAAGCCATAAACTAATGAAAAAAGCTACTCAAGATTCACTCAAAACCCAGCCGACAAAAAAAAAGATTCACTCAAAACCCTTTCATTTTCTAAACGAACCTCAAATCGGTAGATATTTTCCTATTTATGTTCCAAAATTCAGTCTCACTTTCCTATCACATAGACCACCATATAGCTAGTAATGGATCCTGTAATATAAACATACTAAAATGCAAACACTCAAAATGAGTAAAGAAAAAAGCATTGCAGCCAATTTATTTCAAATAAACTTCATTTATCGTTTCTAAATTGGACTAAATTCTGTATAAACAAACCCCAAAAAGAAAAACGAAAAAAAAGAAGATGTGACAAATGAATCAACTGATACTTTTAAGTATATCTACGACGACTCTTGAGTTTCCAATTTTTGTAGACTTTTCCTCTCCTCCTCTGTTGTTTATTCTGCAGAAACACAAACTCAGAAAATCAAAACATAGTAAATGTGCAAACAATGATGATAATAATATACGTATAAACAATCAAGACAAAACATAGTAAATGTGCAAACAATGATGATAATAATATACGTATAAACAATCATGACGAATGTACCAAATACCTTGGCAGCTGGGTGTTGGACGGACTCCATCGTCTTAAGAATAGTAGCACCCTCATGTGTAATGGTTAAGTCATCAGCAATATCGCCTAACAGCTTCTGAACATCGGTAGCTGCTGGGTATTCGACCCCTAACATCCTAAGAATAGTAGCAGGGTCAATTGTAATGGTCACGCCAGTAATATCATCCACAAGCATCTGAAAATGAAACAACATTGGACGAAAAAATAAATATCTAGTATGTCTCGAAACGTTTAGCTCTAAAAAACCAAAGCTTGTGAATATAGCATACCCGATCGAGTCCGACGGGAACACGTGAGGTCTTAACATTGTTCGAAGCAGCTTGGGAAGCTGTCACTTGATTTCTTATTATATCAAATACATCGGTAGCTGCTGGGTATTCGACCCCTAACATCCTAAGAATATTAGCAGCATCAGTTGTAATGGTCACGTCACCAATAATATCATCCACAAGCATCTGAAAATGAAACAACATTGGACGAAAAAATAAATATCTAGTATGTTTAAAATAAACCTCGAAACGTTTAGCTCTAAAAAGAGTTGCAAAGCATTGAAATAGGGCATACCCGATCGAGTCCGGTCTTAACATTATTCGAAACATATTGGGAAGCCATCACTGCATATAGAGTTATCAAATACGAGTAAATGCACCAGCAATCGCCAAAAGAAGAGAGAACGAACAAAAAAATGCTAGCAGCTAGAGATCGAACACAAAATTTCCGATGGGGAAATTAGTATGAGCGGAAATGGAATAATAGGCCGCAGCATGCCCAAATAATTAGTCATAGTGAATAAATGGGCCCTTTGGGCTAAATGTATTTAGGTCATAAAATCTCAAAGTCCATTATCAGCCAGCCTTGTAACTCTTAAACCCTAAAATGCAAACCAAATCAACACAGAGAGAGAGAGAGAGAGAGTAATGGCGACAAATTCTGAAAGCTCCTTTGAAGCAGAGAAATCAGATGGAGACTGTGTTACTACTACTACTACTACTAATAAAGCACAAGTAATTCAAAACTCGATTCTTCATAGGCTGATTATATAAGTATACGTATTGTAAATTCTCACTGATTCATTCATACATTTGTCGTATGCCAGCAGCAAAGTAGTCGCATTTTGAGCCAGGAAGAGGAGAACGTGAGAGATGGCTACTTGTTCTGCTGTGAGAATTTCTACACTCTTCCTGAGATGATCAATTACATGAAGGAGAATCACGGTGTTGAGCAGACCACTGTGACTAAGGTTTTTAGGGAACTCTTAAAGGGTACAGAAGCAGAGGCATATCTCAGAGTATCACATAAAAGAATGAAGACAAGAACTACTACTTGAACAGAGGATGACTTGTAGATTGGTTTTGTTTGAAATTCGTTGGTTTTTGGGTTATATAGTAAGAAACAGACTACTTGTATTATTTATGTCATATTCCGGTTTAGTATCTTCTTCCATTCTTCGAGTTTTGGTTTGTGTAATTTCTCAACACAAAACTCTGTCGAATTCCAGCATGAAACATCTTGTAAGGAAGCTTATGATATTGAAGAGGCGATCAAAGGGTTATAAAGAACTCAAGTCTTGTTGGTCTATTCTCGTAAATGGAAGCTTGAAGAAGATACTCAGACTAAAGGTTTGACTAGGTTGGTGCTTTAGGTGCTGCTAAGGGTGGCTTTTATGTTGTGAGACAAGTATCTAGCCTGGAATGGAATTTAGAATTCTTTATTTCTACAGTTACATAATTCGTTTGATAATCCAAATTTATAAACTGCAGTGTTGTGTTGACTTGTTCATGTCTTAGAATAAGTTCAACGCACAACATAAAAGTAGTTGTTGAAGTTGTTTTGTCTTTTCTAGTTGTTGAAACTTCTTCTATTTCAGTTTGCTGCTATGCCTTCTTGGTCAACAACATAGTCATTCTAAAGCTTTGTCTTCCATAGATATGGGCCAAAGCCCAACATATTCTGAAAGCCCATCGAATCAAATATAGATCTTAACGACAAATCGTACAAGATAATCCCGAAAGGTTGTTGCTTCTGGTCCGAATAATCGACTCGAACATAAAACGGCGTCGGTTTATCCAAAAGCGAGTCAACTGATGCTGCTGCACTGCGTCGTGTTGTGTTCTCTACTCGCCGTCGTCGCCGTCTCCGTCGCTTCAGCCTATCCTCTCGTTGGCGTTCACCCATTAGGTTACTTATTTGATGACTCTTATCGACGAAATCTGAAATGTTTGTGTTTTTTCCTCTCTCTGATTCTTACTTAGTTCTTTTGTGAGGCAGATGAAAAGTATTTCGAGTCAGATGTAATAAGATGCAAAGATGGCTCCAAATATTTCACTAGAGACCGTCTCAACGATAACTTTTGTGATTGTCTTGACGGCACTGATGAGCCTGGTACTCCTCTTTTTCCTTCAACTCCTGTTTTTAGAATCCAGAGAGCTGAGATATGAGACTTTCAATTCTTTGCCCATATAAAGATTTTAGGATCGGATCATGTTCTGTTTCCCAACTTCAATTTTGAAAAAATTGTGTTTTTGGGATTCATAATTAGTAAGTTTCTCAATTTTCTTCAGCTATATAATCTAATTGACTGATTCAATTGGTTGCATCAATGTTTCTATTTTAGGAACTTCGGCATGTCCAAATGGCAAGTTTTACTGTAGGAACATAGGAAGTTCACCAAAGTTCGTTTACTCTTCTCGTGTGAACGATGGAATCTGTGGTTAGTAATATTGTTGTGGATCCTAACTAAATGATTCTAGTTTAAGCTCTCTTGGTGTACGGTCATGGCATTGTCTTTCTCAGATTGCTGTGATGGAAGCGATGAGTACGAGAGTAGCATTAGTTGTCCCAACACATGTATAATGGGTGGCAATGTTAACTACATCTACAAACCTAGAACCAACCTTAAACCTATCGACAGAAAACTCGGTTCGACAACTTTTCCAAAGGAATCTAATACCATACTGAATCTTCAGGACATGGTCAAGAATCTCCAAGGTTTTGGCTACTTAATTTCGAGTGCTTATTTGTTATCTTCGATTGTTTAGCAAACTGAAACAAGAGATGTTGTTGTTATTGTTGTCACCAGGTATGAAGCTTGTCTTCGCCCTTCAGCTGGTTTTGATTGGTTTCTTGGTGATTTTATGGATGCTTAGAAGTCGTGCTCGGTCTAAGAGGAGACGCAAGAATGTACCTCTAAATAGATCAGCTAACTAGCTTTATCGACCTCTTTGATTATAGTTTCTTGAAGCTTTTACACGGAACCTGAGTGCTAAGATCACATATGTCTAGTGTCATTATATAGTTAGCTGAAACTGTATTAAGTGTGAGATTATTTGTTTTCTTGGATCATAATTCTCTTGTTCTTAAGCGTTTACATCTAGATGATCTCATGGTATGAATATTTTCTAGAAATGGAGATTATGCTAATTGATTGTATTTCACAGATTGGATGGATTCACAATTTAGATGATCTCATAGGTGTATCATTCTCTCTTTGTCATAATTAATGATCTCTCAAGACAGCAATCTTGTTTGTAAACTTGAGGCATCTCCCATAATGTAGTGAGACCACTCAGAGAGCTAGCCAAAGAAAACCCATAATTTACCAATCAGTAGAGGGATTCTGTGGATGAACACATAGGGGATGTGTAATGCAATTAAAAGGGACATGAAGTATGCTGCTTGTAAGATATAAAGGCCTAACATTATCTTCATGGTCTAGTAAAAACGTGCAAGAAATTGAAGCTGAGGAGAAAAAACCATTAGATTCAGTCTTTTAAGGACAGGATTATTAGGATATTTGTCTACTGATATATCAGTGGAAAAAACCACATATGCAGGTGGAATGCAGTACAGTCCAGGACCAGGTAACTCTCTGATCTTCTCTACTGGTACTTGAGGGTAAAGTGTTTTGCTCTATATATTTGTATTGTTTCAGGAGGTTTCCTTTCAACATTGGTGAACATATCAAGAATGGAGATACTGATCAAGGATGCTAACGTAGGGCGACCAAAGAAAAGATTATGAAACTGCTGAACTCGCTAACATGTTGAGCATTGGATCTTTCGGAAAAAAAGTCTTGATGATATCTCATCTAGACGAAGAGATTCTTGTAAGTCCACATATTCCGAATTCTCGAGTACTAACTGAAAAGAAAAATGTATGGACAGCTAAAAATACGAAACTATACGATTGAAAGAAGAAGAAGAAAAAAAGGAAAACAAAGTTTGACAAAGGAAAAAAGTGGCAAGTGTCCTACATGTGGGTGTGGTCTGGGGACAAAGCAAATATGTAAATAGAGAAAAAGAGAACACAAGACGAATCACATGGACTCACACATCCACATTATTCTCGTCCTTCTTCTAATCACCAAAAAAATATATATATATAAATATTTGACATGGTTCACGAAAAATACATATGATAAATGTACATATTGAAAAACCATTCATATGAAACATATCCATTATCTTAGCTATGTTGTTGCATTATTCATCGAATATATGACTTAAGTTTTGATTGTTTTTTGTTAGTATTATAATCTTCAGGTAATTGTATATGTATTAGTAAGCAATGAGAAAGAGACTAGTAGTAAATTAAAGAAGGGAGGGGGGTTCACAAAGACACGTGCTTGCTTGATTCCCTTCTCCAAATCTCTTAAGGAAAAAACCAGTGGAGGAGACTTTCCAGTAATACCGTTGAGAGCTTAAGCCTCTCTTCTCAATTAGACAGCTCTTTCATAGCTGTCCGATCTCAATCTCCATGTGACCCTACTACACTGATCATAGATAATAAACACTTTGATCACATCGAATTCATTATGTTCTTTCATCATATTCATTCACATAAGATCGAGATATATATCTTTCATGCCACTCTCTGTTTATCTTCTTTATTACGTAATTTATCTTTCATTTGAGATTACTTTACTTCTATTTATATAACTAGCGTTTGTTAAACATAGCCATTTTGGTTACTCTTTTGTTCCGTTTTCTCCTTTCTTCCGTCCCCTTCCTTTCTCTTTCTCTATCTTCCCCTGTGGTTTAGGACATTGATCATCTCATTACCTTTCCCATTTTATTTCAGTTTCGTTTCTCTCCTTTGCCTTTTTCATCTAGCTAGGTTTTTTGGTTTTCTGATTTGGGTTTACGTAGGTTTCTCTTGTAATTTATTTACCAAGGTTTTTCCCTCCCCCTTGCTAAATCCTGTAAATTATCAGATTTGTTTTCTTTGGTTTTGAACTTTGCTATCGATCTATATATTTTCTCCTCGATCTCTTGCCATTAGAGATAGATATAATTAATCCTCTCCAATGGCGCAACTCCCTCCTAAAATCCCCAACATGACGCCACATTGGCCTGATTTCTCCTCCCAAAAGCTCTCCCCGTTCTCTACCCCAACCGCAACCGTTGCTGCAGCCACTACAACCGTACAAAACCCTTCATGGGTAGACGAATTCCTAGACTTCTCAGCCTCACGCCGTGGCAACCACCGTCGCTCAATCAGCGACTCCATCGCGTTTCTTGAAGCTCCAACCGTATCAGACCATGTCAGCATCGAGAACATCCACTTCGACAGGTTCGACGACGAACAGTTCATGTCCATGTTCACCGACGACGGCGACCTTCAGAATAACACTTCCCATATCAATAACATTTTAGGTACCACCGGATCTTCCTCAAACACGCCCACGCCGTCCAATAGCATCAACGACGACAACAAAGAACCACCCTCCATCTATCATGACATGAACAATACTAACAACAATTGTAACAATAATAACGATGAAGTCCAGAGCCAATGCAAAACGGAGCCAGATGATGGTTCGGCGTCCAATAACAATTCCGGTGATAGCTCCGGCAACCGGATTCTTGATCCCAAAAGAGTTAAAAGGTTAAAAAAAATATATGTTATTAAGGATCATGCATGCACGTACAAATAGTAACTGAGATTTGATTATGATGCACGAATGTCACGAATGTTTTTTTATATAAATTACTGAAAAATTAGCGTCACATTAGTAACCACATATGATTATATATTTTTTTGAAATATTAACAAAAATATTTCTGAATGGGTTTCACAGAATACTAGCAAATCGGCAATCAGCACAGAGATCAAGGGTTAGGAAACTGCAATACATATCAGAGCTCGAACGTAGCGTCACTTCGTTGCAGGTACATTTACATTTACACAATTCATATATAGCTTTTTAACCAAACGAATTATTATGGTGATTATGACCTTGCTCCTCTTTTTTTTGTAACATTTTTATAAAAAAAATTGAAGGCAGAAGTGTCAGTGTTATCGCCAAGGGTCGCGTTTTTGGATCACCAGCGTTTGCTTCTTAACGTCGACAACAGTGCTCTCAAGCAACGAATCGCTGCTTTATCTCAAGACAAGATTTTCAAAGACGGTAAGTTTTTTTTTTCTCTCACTTTTATTCACTTTGAGTAAACCTTTTGATTTTCTAAAAGCATAAACAACATTTTAAATATGTAGAAAAACCTATATTTACAAAAAAAAAAAAAAACCTATTAACTAATGAAAATATGATTCTCATCATGTCTCTGCAGTCTGCACATACATAACTTTTGGATTAAATTCTTATGGAAATATGTCGGGGAAATTATGAATATGTGTGTTTTATAAGCTTTGTCATTTTTTTCTCGTCCATGCATTCAATTATCACTGACAATATATATGAGCACGCTTTTAATAATTTTCTTCCAAAAGTCGGTAATATAAGAACTTTTTATGTAAAAATTATACTATTAATTTGCAGCACATCAAGAATCATTGAAGAGAGAAATAGAGAGACTTCGACAAGTGTATAATCAACAAAGCCTAACGAAGATGGATAATGCAAATCATTCACCGGCGACCGGAGCAGTAGCTGCTTCGGCGGTCGAAATCAAAAAGTCTATTGAAAAAGAGCAGCTCCTCAATGTCTGATAAGTTATTAATCATCATTATCATTATCATCAACATTACTCTCTCTTCTTGGCAAAAATTCTTGAATATAAAATCTCTTTCGGTTAAGAATTTCAGAAGATTGACATTTTTTTATTCCTTTCACTTATTTTTTTTGTAAGTTGTGATGAATTCATTTTGATGTTTTTTGTTTTATTGTGTTTATGTCGTTTTTTGGGGCGGTTGATGAAAAAAAGTCATCAATTGTGTGTTTTGTACAAAGAACTAGTTGGGTTTATTTTTTATTATTGTTTTGTTCTGGGAGTGTATAAAGATTTGTGTACGAATTATATAAGATTTTTACGGAATAGCTTAATATTTTTCCTCACTGTTTACTCTATACATTATATTGCTTCTCAATTTTCACTACACAGGTTAAACAAGAACTATGTATGATTAGTTATATCCTAAAGTGATCTAGAGTAAATCTGCAGCGGCTATTAAGTGTGGCTGTTACACCCTTTTTCTGTCTGAACGGTTATTAAACTACATATATGAATAGGTTATTTAACGATATTGAACTACATTAGTAACATATATAACCATAAACCATATGTTGACGTCATATGGAAATCTTGATGATAAAATTATATATATGGCACATCCACTCATGTATTGCTTAGGATTTACCGGAAATGAAAACCTTTTAAGTACATTCTGAAATGGTCACTAATAAGGGAAAAAACTTATGCAGTGAAAAGGAAAGAAGAGAAAAGAAAAACGCGTTAGGACACATCTGAAAGGCTAAGCTGTGAGTTCACGTGATGTGTTCCTTGGCTGGACCACTCACTACGTTCTCGTTACATGATTGGTTTTTGGTATATTTATCCTTCAATTTTTATAGATTTCTTTTCAGGATTTGGGGTTTGAGTTTTCTTTTTTCAGCAAATGGTATAAAAGCAATGGACCAATGGTGATAATGAGATTTTAGTTATATATTCCATTTCAAAAATTTAATGGTTTAGAATGAAACAAGACGGCCACAGTTGAAATATGAGAAAGCAGAAAAGTAACCAAGAAGCCTCCCAAGTTTGGAAATTCACCACTGAAAAAAACTATTAGTGTTCTTTACTATTCAATTTTTGGTCACTACAGTTTTAAAGCAAAACCTTATAAGTGCTTGGATCGTTACGGCTACATTTTACTGGCAAATGTCTATAAACCCAAAATAGATTTCAAACACATATACATACAGTACACCTACCAAAAAACTACATAGCTACTTTAAAGATTCCAAATTTCAATACAAAAACCATCAATTCCTATTTTAGTTAAGTTTGGCTTCTTGAATTTTCTTTTTGGACTTATGCTGGTTCTTCATATGCCTACCAAAGAAGAAGCCAGTAAGTATTTGATGGCCAGAATCTTATCAAGGAATTATCAAACAAGACTCGGGCTCTCTTCGTCCCTACTTCCTAGGTTATATACACAGAACTGTGTGAGCAATACTAACAGAGGAACAAAGTTATGAGTATAAAAGAGAAACGTCTACCTTCTCAAGTATTTGGTATTGCATTGGATTTTCCAGGTATATCGCTAATCTTGCGTCTTGAAATTGCCTCTTTCAAGAGTTTCACCTTATCTTGGATCTCAGTCAGCTTCTCGTCAAGCATCTCTACTTTTTTACTAAGGTTCACTTCATACTTTTTACTCTAGAGACTTATAAATTCTTCTACTTCTATAAGAGCTTAGTACTAAACCTCCACTATCTTTGACATCTTTGTATATCGGTTTATCACGCACAGTGCAAAATTTCCTATGCTTTCTATATGCCTTCTGTGTTTCTTTTAAAGCTCCCTGGTACCAGGCTAATACACTTGTCATCATACGAAGTTCATTCTCAAGCTTATAGATATCTCTACGTCCTTCCTCTGTTGCTATTCATAACTTCCCCTGTGCAATTGCTGATTTATTTCTTCCCTCTTTTGCAGTTAACTAAGCAACATCTGTTGCCTCATATTAGATTCTCCACAAGCTCGGTCTTTCTCGTAATATGATTACTTAGCCTTATCTGCCAAGTGCTTATTCCCGGAACAGAATGTATCTCTTATGCTACAGAAACTTCGTTTTCCACGTTCGGTTGAATAGCTACAGCAAGTTGGTACCGGGATTCAGTAGGATTCACCGGAGAATCCATGACTGGTTTATTTTTTCGGATCGCTTCTTTTAGCAATCCAAAAGGTTAAGGAGCTAAAGAGTCTTCATTACCGTGATTAACCATAATTAATTTCCCACTTCATAAGAAAAAAGCAGCTAAACCGAGTTTGATAACCGGTAAGAATAAGTAAAATTACATAAATGCACCCGTATCTTTAGTTTTATCACGAAAAACTCCAAAATTTCTTTGACTTTTTCAGATTCTTTGAAAGTTTGACTACTCTTTCAGATTCCCTTTCTTCCTCCGCTTCGAGAAACTGTAGTCGTTACTTCTGAACCTTCTGGTTCCTCCGCCGCGAAATCTCCGGATACAACATTGATCTAGCTCTCGGAAAATGATCTGTCAAGTCCTAATGCATCTCTCTATCCTCATCACGGCGGCGGCTGCTGCGGAGTACGGTGGGGAGGTATTAGAGACGGAGCTCTGGTGCGTGGCGAAGAACAACGCTGAGGATTCGGCACTTCAAACGGCCGTTGACTGGGCTTGTGGTCCTGGAGGAGCTGATTGCGGCGAGATCAAGCAAGGCGGATCCTGCTACGATCCACAGGATATGGTTAAGATGGCGTCGTATGTTTTCAATAACTATTACCTGAAGAACGGTCCCGCAGATGAAGCTTGTAACTTTAGTAACAACGCAGCTGTTACTTCACTGAATCCTAGTGAGTTTTACATTTTCTTTGGTTAAAGATAATACCAATTCGATTATGACTGACATTTGCAAATTGAAATGTTGAAAGCTTGATGCTTTTTGTTTTCAGGTCAAGGAGCATGCAAGTTTCCTTCAAGGTAATTAAGTAATGCTCATTTGTATTGCTAGTTAGATAGAATTCGTGTATTAGTTTCAGTTTGTTTTGAGCTTTTTCCAATCGATCTGAGGTTCTTTTCAAAATGATTCCTAGTTTGATGTGTTTTGGGTGAAATCTTTGAGTAGCTCTTTTCATTAGTTACAATTAGAAGGATGAAGTTACTTCACTTTGTGATCGTGGTGATATATTGTTCTTTTTATCAGTATGTTATAGTTTCTGCAGAACATATAAGAAGTTGCAACAAGTCATCTGAAAATGTTGTTATTCTCCATAGAGCTTCAATTTATTAAGCATTTTGATAGTTAGGCTCATGCGCTTGAAGTCTCATGTGCAGTAAGAGAGTGAGCAATGGAAGTATAGCGGATGCCACTTCAACGCAGGGAACAACTGCACAAGAATCCTCAGATTTCAGTAGAGCAAGGAGGATGTTTAGCAGCTGGTCATTGCCCTTCATTATTATAGGCCACATTATGACAATGACACTGATACTTCATCATCTTTAGCTACCGCTTGGTGATTGAAGGTAATCCTTTTTTTGATCTCTCCTTTTCCTCAACCCTCGATTTTATGTAAAGCAAATTGGTCATGCATCTTTAATGGATACCTGATATATAGCTCTGTACTGTCTTACCACTATGAAGAGTTAACTAGAAAGGCATCAATGTTAGCTGTGTATCAAGATTTATCTTTTGACTAATCAAGTGTTCCATTACAAAAAACTAATGAAAAGAAAAAATACAGAGAATGGTTTTAGTAACAAAAGAAATGAGGGGATAGTATTATCAATTAAAGATTTCTGATGTATGTATGATTTATATGCATTATATGTATCTCTATGTGGACTCAATGTCTCTCAAGATCCGCTACACGATCTTGGTCAATACAAGAATGATTGATCCTGTTCGAAGATCTTTCCCTTGTCAAGATCTTCTTAAACGAATCTAATCGTGAAACCGAGGGGACAACTGTCTTGTTTTCTGAGGAAGAAGAGGGTGCCGCTTCCACCGTCAAATTTAGCCTGGCTTCCTCCAACAATGGCGGTGCAGTACTGATTGGTCCTTCCCTTGGCTCAGGCTCAAGTCTCGGCCTTGGCTCAACTTCTGTCCGGCAAACAGGGCAAGTGGAGCAAGTGGAGAGCCACGTGTCAACACAGTCGACGTGGAAGATGTGCTTGCAGTTGGGCAACTCTCTCGCCGTATCGTGCTCCTCTAAGACGCTTAAACACACTGCGCATTCAGTAGCGGACGCAGCCACGCCATCGATGGTTCCGACGGTGAAAGTAGGAAGAGAAGCTATGACAGTGGGATTGAGGCCACGCTTGGGAATCTCAAAAGAGTGGCGGAATATGACGGGGAGGCCACGGAAAGCTTCTCTACGGCGGCGGAGAACGAATCTTGCGTAAAGATGAAGAGCAAAGACAATAAGAATAACTCCGGATAAAGAAGCTATGGCCGCAAGCATGATCTTGCTGTTAAGATCGTATTTAGAAGCATTGGGCCAGAACGAGTGATGGTCGGAGTTGAACCAGTGAGAATCCCTGTCGTTGGAGCTCATTGTGAAGCTTTTTTTCTTTCCTTCGGTGGATGGGAAAGGAAAAGTGAACAAACTTGGTTACTAACTTCTGATGTGTTATATAAGGAATAAAGGACTTTTAGAGTTTTGGTATTTAAATATTTTTAGTTTTCCATGGCTTAGACTTTAGTTGGTGGGTGGAAGAAAAATATGAAGTAGATATATATTTTTTAGAAAGTTTGGCAGATAGCTATACTTCAAAGACGGTTTGGAAATTTCACCATTGTTGACCAAATGAACTTGGATTGTTCACGCAAGAAAACAAGAAGAGTTTCTATATTTTAGGTTTATATAGTTCAGTTGTAGACCATAAGAATATTATAGGTGATAGGTTTGAAGGTTTAGAGATCGTGCAAGTTTGGAAGATACCCGAAGTCTCCTATATACATTATATGTTTCGTAGACCAAATTGCGTATTTTGATATCAGTGAATTTGTAGTTAGCCTGTATATATAGATTGTAATGTTTATCATCATATTAGTGTATATTGAAGAGTTAGTCTTATATCGTTTTGTATGGCGCAAATTAGTTTATACAGGCAGATCTATAAATTCATCTCTTAATTAATAGCAACAAAAAAAATTATAGAACCACCAGTAAAACGGTAACCACATATATATGACTTATTTTATTTCATGCATGCATAACAATTTAGTACATTTAATAAACTAGAATCGCAATCGATGAATGCTAGAACAATGATCAAATACATGCTTTCTTTTTCTATTTTTTCTGTCAACAAAATGAAGATACAGTTTAAGTTTATCATCTGTATAATATGGATAGAAATAATGTAAAATGTCCATAGTCAAGAAAATACGAAAATCAAAAGTTAAACGTGTGAAACCTGTGACTGTGAGGATACGTGTGCGAACCACATAGTTAGACTTGAAGAAGAGTCTTCGACGTAGACACACGTTGAAAATATCTTACAAAGTTGCCTCGATCGTATATTACAAGTTCCACACTTTCCTTTTCCCCTTTTCACACGTTAATCAACGACGGCTTCGTAATTATGTGTGTATATCTTTCTTTTTTTGTTTTAAACAGTAACATAAAAGCTTGCCGTCATACACATTCAAAACATTTTGACTACACAAATCAAAATTTAAAGGAACAAAGAGTAGTATTGTATTGTACATGAACATGAATCACATATACTATAGACTGATTTCATTGACGTTCTATATCCAATGCACGATCTTGGTCAACGCGAGAATGATCATTATTACTGTTAGAAGATCTTTGCCTTGTCAAAATCCTTCGAAATGAATCTAACCGCGAAACCGATGACCCGCCGGTTTTGTTGTGATCCGACAAAGATGCCGCCGCGAAATCCAACGGCGGTGCACCATCACCAACTGGCCCTTCTCTTGGTTCAGGCTCAAGCCTTGGATTTGGCTTGACTTCAGTTCTACAAACGGGACAAGTGGACTGCGCGGTGAGCCACGTGTCAACGCAACTTACGTGGAAAACGTGCTCGCAGTTCGGTAGCATCCTCGCTGTATCTTTCTCCTCCAACAAGCTTAGACAAACCGCACATTCAGTACCCGCCACGTCATTCTTGACTCCAACAAGGAACGTTGGGAGAGAAGCGATGACTAGAGTGTCGAGGCCACGTTTTGGCCGGTGAGAAACGACGGAAAAGGATAGGTCTTGGAAGGCTGGTCTACGGTAGCGGAGAACGAACCTTGCGTAGAGATGATAAGCGAAGACGATGAGGATAATAACAGAGAAGGAAACGATGGTGAAGAGTAAGATCTTGCTGTTGGCATCGTAAGAACTCGTGCTTAACCAAAACGAACGGTCGGAATCGAACCGCTGATCATCACTTCTGTTGTCGGAGCTCATGATGAATTGTTCTAGCTTGATATGACGATCGTGAAAGAAAGAAATGGAACAAGATCACACAATGTGGTTACTATAAATTTAATAACTAAGTAATAAAGATTGAAACGATCTTATGATATTGTTTTTTGCATTTAATTATTATACAAGGCACTATGATATGATTGGTGAGTGGAGAAATATAGGCAGTTTACTATAATATAGAATGCTAATTTACTCATACATCCAATCCAAGGGCCTTCGTTGACTTTAGCCTGATTTGTTTTTAGTTTTAGAAATTCTAAGTAAGTTTATGAAATATCAGTTAGGATTGCATAATTCCATTTTTATACCATGAATACACAACATGTCGACGTTATCTGAGAATTCTAGATAGATGATGATGACAATAATATACATTTTGTCCAAATAGTATGAGTAGACTTATTGTAAACTGAGCATAGTCAAGAAAAAACGAAATTTAAAAGTTAACAAAACATGAGGTATGTAGTAGCGAGGCTGCGTGTGGGAATCATACGATTTGAGTTGAAGCAGAGTCTTCGAAGTGGACATACATGTTATTTTATTTTACAAGTTGTGAACATATCATAAATTCAACTCTTTTTATTGCTTTGTCACACGTTAGCTTCTTATTATTTTTCCTTGTATATACTTTTTGTAGGAAAATGTCAAATGTATTTTAATATCAGATCTACAGAATATGATATATATATATTATATGGAAAACTATATATATATTACATGGAAAACTATATATATATATATATATATTAAATATATCGTATATGGTAGATCTGATATTAAAATACATTTGACATTTTCCTACAAAAAAGTATATAC